AACCGTAGGTAAATACTACGCGCTCTTATAGAAGCAGTAGCGTAGCGATTGCTTACTCCTATTACTAGTCGATCGAAGATACCGGAGGTTACGGGAGGCGATTATATTCGTATATATATACTGCCTACCGATAAGCAATTAGTAGAACCTAGAGAGGAGGCAGAACAATATATTCTATAGATATAATTTAGGTTCGTCTACGAGGGCGACTTTTACAAGATCGTAAGTAAGGGCTTTATTAAACCTACGCAGCTACGCTAATACCTTCGGAGCTATCTATACTACTACCTCTACCGCTATTGTCCGAGCAAGTCTAACTCCGTCTATACTAGGGACGCCGTAGGGAGCCGGACCTATTACCGGACTATAAAGAACCCCCGAGCAAACGCTAATGTATGTTACGACTATTAACGCCGGAGATACTATAGGTACCGGATAGTACTTCTAGTTAGAGCCCTATTAATATGCGTAATCCGTTAGGCCTCCGGGGCCTTACCGGGACGGGCTATATAGAGCCGGGCCCGGAGGCCGCGATCCCGACTACGGAGATAGAGCCGACCGAGGATACGGCTAGCGAGGAGGTAGATAACTAGACCGGGGAATTTACCTTTAACGAAGAGCTAACCGAGAACGTACTCGCCGAGGGGGGACAAGTTACGTCTCGTATATATACGCCGTTGTCTATATACCGTTATACTCTTTGCCCGGATACGACTAATCTATATCTTATTAGCCTATATATAGCTATACCCCTCTATTAATAGCTAGAGGATATCGTCGACCGAGGCGTCTAGCTATATATAGTAGAGGAGGACCCGGTTCCGTTATACCGGCACTATACTAGGGTGTTTGCGAGCTATAGGTTCGGACTTAAGTCGAATATCGCTATAGCTCTACTAACTACTTGCATTGCCGAAGTCTATAGAGCTTACGTTAATAGCTAGTTTCTAGAATACTAGTATTAGTACCCGGAATTCTTCTCCCTAGCCTACTATCTAAAGTACGTAGGTAATGTACTTAGTCTATATACGTTCCTATCTCGAATATATATAGGAATACTAGTTACTCCCTCCGCTACGCCTAACGTAGAAACCTTGGTTACTAAGCTCCGATCATTTATAATTAACGCCGGCGATTAGGCTACGTTCGATCTTATCGGCTTAGTTACAAAGGAGGGGGTTTTTAGGTATACCGAGACGATCTTCGGGGATATCGAATATAAGTTCGATATATACTTATAGTACCTCCGTCGTATAAATAGTCGCTCTAACCTAGGGTAGAACAGGTCGTAGATATATAGCGTAATTCAGTAGCTCGTCCGCTAGGACATCTTATACTAGGCTTTATACGCTTCTTTACGTACGGACGGTAATTACCGTTTAGTGTCTTATCCTTATTACGCGAAGTACTAGTACGGCGACGACAAGGGTAACGAGAATATAAGTCGTAATAGCTTTAAGTATATAGACTACAACGTTATAGATCTTGCGGCAGGCAAAGGTACTAGTTAGATCTAAGGCTCGGTATCGTTCGATAATAAGACTTATAAGGACTGTACTATACTTGTTTAGGGAATACACTATAACGAGACGTTTCGTAAGTAGGCAGAGGTAAACTACGCCGCCGGTCGTTTACAGAATAGCCGGATCTACAATATTATAGATAAGAAGCTCGGGCCTAAACTAAGAAAGAAGATAGGTCTAGATTAGTAGCTAACTCCGGTCTAGCGATATAGCGTCTATATTACCGACCTCCGTATTCCTTATAGCGCGCTATCTTCGTAGGGCGTACGATATACGATCCTCCCTTAGTTTGTAGCTATTACTAATATAGAAACCGGAGAGATAGAGAACCCGAAAATAGGGACCCTTTAGCAGATCGCGGAGGTATACCGAACAATAACTACCCTACTATCTAGCCCGTCGGGCTACTCTAATATATATAGTCCAATTCTATACCGATTTCCTACTATAGCCTAGTTAGATAGCCTTAGCCTAATCTTAGACGCTCTAGTTAGTCGCAAATCTTAGGCCGATATAGAAGTTATTAACGAGTTGAACTATATTACTTATATAGAATCTCTTGCTTAGTAGGAGGTATACAAGCTTAAATAGTAGGCGAACGCTATTAAGAGGTATAAGAAGGTTTTCGACCGTATTCGTAATTCTAAAATACTACTCTTCGGGAACGCTAGTTACTTCTACTATAAGGGTAACTTTGAGTTTCGACCGTAGCCTGATTTTTCTACTCTCGACTCTAAGTATATAGAGGAAGGCTCTAGTACTATACTTAAGGGCGATATATCCTAGATAGAATAGGTAGTACGTTAGTTAGGCCCCCGGGGCCTAACCGGGAGCTTCCGAGTATAGGGAGGGTTTAGGTTTTTACGATTAGGTGCCTTGTTTTCGACGGGTCGTTTAGGTCTGCTTTTCTATATATAATCGTTAGATAGGGGGGAGGGGGGTTTAGTTATACCTATGTCTACAGGACAGATATATAGGTAGGGGAGGGTATATTAAGCGGCTAGGCGTGTTTCTTTTACGTAGGGCGTTAGGGTAGAGCCGAGAGCCGGACGGCCTAGGAGGGCCGTACTACTCCCGGCGGGTAGCTATATAGAGTAGTTTTCTTCTTTTTAGGACAGAGGAGAGGACGGACATAATTAGGACGTAGACGTACGGATACCTACTCTACTATAATTGATGTCGTTACCCTATAGTGCGCTTTGTCTTCTAATATTACCGTTCCTACTACCTACAGGCATCTCCGCGTCCTTCCGGACCTCTACCTATCCTACCCCTTTTACTGCGGAGCTACGCCGCGACCTACCGTAAGCCGGGCCTATCCGATCGTCTACTCGAGGACGGTAGTAGGAGAGAGGGCTTTACGGTAATACTATAGTATTATCAACTAATTAACCTATTATCCAATTAGTAGCTAAGGCAATAAATAAGATAATAGGTAGACGTAATTAGGGTACTTAGGAGGTATGTTTTCTCTTGCTCGGGCTCTAACTTTAAAAGGGTATACGTTCTGTACTCTCTATCGATTATCGAGCCCCTAACTAACAAGAGCGTAATTTAGTACTATATAACGATAATAATAGTAAACTTCTACTACAAGAGGATTTTAAGAAGGGCAAATCCTACTAGATTAAGTATATTTAGCGCTACGCGCGCTACGAGGATGTTACTTTCTTTAATACTCTTACTAACTACGAGATACGCGGCCTAACTATAAAGCCTCTACTACGAGGTGCTATACGTTTATTAAGTTACTACCTAAAATACAGAAATAATCCTGCCGATTCAATATATAAGGATTACTACCGTACCTAGGTTGTCCTCCTCGAAGGGCTATAGCGAACCTATCTAACACTTCCGGTAATACTTACGGTATATACCTTCGAAAAGTACTCTAACGTATATCGCTAGTATCGACGCTACTATACCTACTATCTAGACCTATATTTGGCTCCTCTTTAGAAGCTATCTCGAAAGGTTCAAGTACGAATTGATAAAGAGGAGTTCGAAGAGCGTATCGATAACGAAGACGCGGATCCCGCTTACTAGGATAAGCTCGTTTAACGCCCCTCCTATTATAATCCGAATGCTCTTAGTAATAGAGATATTAATGTAAATACAGATTAGTCAAGCTTTGTTAGAAAGTATACTATTCTATTCCCTAATATCTATTACTACCCTTAGAGAGAGTACTAGAAAGAAGAGATTGCTACAAACCCTATAGAGTTATATATAGACTTATAGTCTACTAGTTAGAAGGAGCTCCTAAATCCAGAGCAGCGACTAGTCTATAATACTGTTATTGACTATTACTACGATTTTTTGGCTAGACAAACACCTCCTTAGCTTCTTCTTAATATAGATAGCCGCGTAGGAACTAGCAAATCCTATATTATTAACCTAATATCCGCTTACCTCTAGACTAAAGCCGGATCCCGTAGAAATCTAGTGCTTCGTCTAGCTCTAACTAGTATAGCGGCTTATACTATTAATAGCTAGACTCTATATAAATTGCTTAAGTTGCCTATAAATCGAAACTTTTAGGATCTCTCTGTTTCCGTACTTCAAGCTATTTAGGCCGAACTCTATAGAATTCACTACCTTATTATCGACGAGAAGTCTATAATTAGTCTTTTATAGCTTAAGATAATTAAACTCCGGCTCTCCTAGGTATATAGCAGTCCTCTACTATTTAGGGGCATGAATATTGTACTTCTCGGCGATTTCTTCTAGTTACTACTAGTCGCTAGGTTGCTACTCTTTACTACCGACCTTAAGTATACTATTAACGTTACTGTTAGTAGTCGCAATAATTACTATAGTTTTAATCGTACTATCTACTTAATACGATTAATACGATAATAAGGCAACGCCTAAGCAGCATTCCGGATAGCTCTAGAAGGGTTACGTAGTAATACGCTTACCTATTAGAATTAGCGCGTACTTGCAACCTGTATTAGCTCGGTACTTCCTATATACGAACGACATTTATTTAATAATACTACCCGTATCTACTTTACTAACAGCAGTATAAGGGATTTCAATAAACAGCAATTAATAGTATTAAATACCCCTATTATAAGGCTTAAGGCAAAGTACGACGATAAGAGTATTAGACAACGTGCTTCTATAGACGAATATAGGCAATTAGAAGCAGAAATTAAGCTATCTATTAGTTATAAGATTATGCTTCTAAAGAATATATAGACTAAAGCCGGCCTAGTAAATAGTACTACTAGATTCTTATATAATATCGAATAGGCGCTAGGAACGACTAGTCCCTACGATACGCTACCTTATTGCCTTATAATAAGAATCAAGAAGACGGATTACACTAGTTTATAGCTCTAGGAGTATAGTATTTACGTTACAATCCCTATCTTTACTAATAAGAGGCTATTCTACCGTAGTAGAAACGAGTACTATCGCGAGCAATTTCTAGTCCGTATAGCGTTCGCAATAATAGTCTATAAAGTATAAGGTATAACCCTCGATAGAGCAGTAATTGATATTACCTCTAAAGAATTTATACCTAGATTGCGATATATAGCAGTTTCTCGGGTAAAGACCCTTAATAGTCTTATATTTGAGAAACCCTTCGATTTCTCCTTCTTTACTAATCGCCTTAGCGCTACTGCTATCGCTCGTAAAGCCGATATTGAACGCCGTAGGCTAGAGTGCCTTCTTCCTGAAAATACGAGCGATCAAGACACTTAAGAGACCTATACTCGCTCTCGCTAAACTACTTATAGCTCGTAGTATAGCTCTATTAATAATATTATAAACTAGTATCTCGACGAGGATGAATTAATAATAGCCGGCGGTCTAGGTATAGATATATAGCAAGAGCAAGGACATAATAATAAAGACTCGATAGAATTTAACGAGAATAACTTTATTCGGTTAGGTAGGAGAGGTAGACGCCCTACGCGAGACGATAAGGACGAGTTGATAATAGCCGGAGGCCTAGGTACGGACATATAGCAAGAGTAAGGCGATAAGGACAACGAGCGCGGAGGTATACGGCTACTATTATTAGCGTTGTTTAGACGGCGTAGTAAAGATAATAGTTTTATAGCGCCTACCTAGGACATACAGTTATAGGACGATAGTAATAAGGATACTACCGATAGTAAGCTCTAATCTATAACTAATAAGAGGCTAGAGAAATGCCCCTAGTTATGTCTATAAATACGGAGATAGCGCTAATCGGCTTAGAATCAAAAATCGTACTATATAAAAATCGTTGATACGTAACTTTCTAATATACAGTAATTTGTGCCCGCCCCTAACTTGATATATTAAAACCTAAGGTTTTTGCTCTTACTAAGCAAACAGTATACGGGTATAAACTATACAGGTATAAACTAATCTAGGCACTACTTTCCGGAATAACGACACTACGCGTACGTATTGCTGCCCTTCTTCCCTACGAACTCTTCTATACCCGCTATCGAGTATATACGATACAAAAAGCCCTTCGCTATATACCTTGCGTAGGCTAGATTCCGAGAAACCCCCGTATCGGTCTCTTTAATCCTACTAACGTACGAGAATAGCGCTCTTCGCTTTGCCGAGCCTACCGTCTATAAGGCCTTACTACGTACCTCTTTACTTATAGAGTAGTAGGTATCTATAGCAGTTAGTCGTCGCGCTGCTACCTTAGCCTACGTAGGCCTACTACTACCCCTGCTTAGTATACTTAGCGCTGTCTCCGGCTCTTCCTTATTATTATTAGGTATCTCGTATAGATTATACTATAGTACTATAGGTAGCCGCTTTAGAAGACGTAGGCTCGGTCGACGTAGCTGCGAAGAACTAGTAACCGGAGAAGCAAAAACCGGAGAAGCGGATAGAGAAGAAGCGGTACTTAGCTATTCGGGTATAGTATAATACTGCTCGTATTCGCTATTATTATCGATCGGCTCTAGCGTCGGCTCTACGGCTATCTTATTGATCGCGTCGTACATCTATTAACCGTCGTCGGCTATACTTGAAATAGGTTAGCTAATTAGAAGCTAGAGAATCGCTATCGATTCTACGCGTAAATTCGTATATATATAGTACTAATCAACTCGGATTGATATATATATATATATACGCGTTGCGTATATAGAATTCGTAGAATTCCGACGTTAGCGTATATTTAGGCATAGTATACAATATACGCGGCGGGCATAAACCAAGTTCTAGTAGGGAAAAGATTAGCCTCTATATTAGCAAGATTAGCCGACGTTCCGTACTACTAACGGGCTAGCCTATAGGACATATTATTTCTAAGGTCTATATAATAAAGCAAAGCACGCAGAACTACCCTATAGCAATAGATTCAAAGATAGTCTGTGATTCTATATAAAAAATGTATATGAAGGTAATATAATAAGGCTTTTGGGAATGCCAAGAAGACAGACTTTCGGAACCGCGGAGGTAGTAGTAGTAGTGATGGTAGTAAGTTCTCCCTAGATGACACCAAGGAGGTAGGAGGTATTTTATGTACATCTGCTGGTTCTGTATCATACATGGTCGTTTTTTACTTACCTGAAGAATTTAGGAGGTAAAACATCTCTGCAAGAACCCATGGGTTCTTCCGAGGCAACACATGACCGGATCCGAGAATCTTGTTGGAAGAAGAATGAAACTGTTTTTTTTTTCTTTTTCCTTCTTCTTTCTTCTGCCTACTGATGTCCCCCCCCTTTTTCTCATCAGAATCTTTCCCGCGCAGTGACCGGCACCAAACTCTCTTGATCTTCAAGACTCCAATCCTCTTTCCTCCTTTCCACCTGTTCCACAACTTTGGTAACTTGAATCCCATCGCTCGTCGTTCGCCCTCCCCCCACTACCACCCCATCTCGCGTACTCGCCGTTATGGTCGTCAGAGGAGCAGAAGGAGGAGGCGGAGGAGGAGGATTTCTGGTGTAAATATCCGTTTCAAATTCACTCACTCGAACACCCTTGTGGGATTTCCCCCAACTTCTTGATGTTTCACTTAATTTCGGATCCCATTTTTCTATTCGTATCACTCTTTCACCATTCCCATTCCCACCACCATCGGATTTGCTCGCTCGACTCAACTCCACATCTCCTCCTCCTCCTCCTCCTCGAGAACCCGCTATAGTAGAAGAAAAAAGATTCGGAAAATATCTCGTCACAAGCCCTTTGAGCGTGGGTAGACAACTCGCGATAATTCCCACGGTGGCTTCTAATACTGCCCAGAGTGCTGCCAACGGGTTGTCCCAGCTGGGATCGTCGGAGATGGCGATGGCGTATAAGGAGTGGAAGCGGATGATGGAGATGAGACAGATGATTCCGCCGAGACCGAAGACGGACATGAGAATGTAGCGTTGGCGTTTGGGGAGGTTGAGGGATTTTGTTACGGGGAGGGGGAGGAGGGCGGTTGCTATGTCGGTTGCTATGTTGAAGGAGGAGTTGAAGAACCTAGTTATTTTTTTTTTGTTCGTCAATTTCTTCTCTGATTTTATCATCAAGGGGAAGATATAGAGGCAAAAAGAAGGCAAAAAAGATAAAAATACTAACCACAAAGGCAACCTCGGCAAACATTTCCCTCCCTTCTTCTCCGGTTCCCAAAAATGTGATACGGGCGTACACATAAACATGGTCGCCAATACCGTCCACCACATAAATACAAACATGATTCCAAACAACACAATCGAAATCTTGCGGAATTTCGGAATATGGCCGAAAATTCGAAGACATTGTAAGACAATGGACAGTTTGGCCAGTCCTAGACCGAAGTAGTAATTCCAGACGGAGATCCTGTGAATGAATGATTCCATCAGTCAATCAACACTCCAAAGATCTCGTTTGGAATGAAGAGAGGTTTTGATGAACGTAAATCAAAAGAAAAAAAAAGAAAACTCACCAAAACCAAATCAACAACCTCCTCTCCTGCACCTCCGTCAAACTACTCTGATGTCTCCCCAGTCCAAAATGTACTTGATTTAAAATACATATGGTAAAAACTGTCGTGAAGGCCATTGCTAAGGTTACGACAAAATCGTCCCAGCCGGCTTGATGCACGATTCCCAGGCGTGTCCAGAGTCGGAGGAGGACGCAGGTTAGAGCTGTGAATGTCTGGTGGAATAAAGAGTGGGTTAGAAAAGCAAGGTTGGAGGGAGGGGGGGACGGAGACGGACGAAGCTGAGGACGACTGCTACGACTGTTGTGGGGGAGGCGTGGCCGCTGGGTTTGGACATGGTGGGTGGGTTTCTTTTTCTTTTCTTTTCTTCGGATTGGATTGGATTGAGATCGGATTGAATTGGAGTGGCCCGTCGGCGGTGGGAGGAGTGGCAGTGACTGGCGTTTCACTACAGCTATATGTAGCTCAAGTAGCTAGATATCTCATGGTAGCGGAGAGAGAAGAATCCGTTGATAATGATAGCAGTAGTAGTAAAGATGATGAAATAGGATAGGATAGGATAGGATAGGTATACAGTAGCAGTGACTAGTAGCCAGCAGTGAGTATCAGGAGAAGTAAGCAGCAGTACGTAAAGCAACAAGAAAAAAAGAATATTAAGAAGGTAAGGTAAGGTGAGTAGGAGAAAAACTCCAGGTAGTAATCAAGTACCTGTAAGGTAAGTTAGTTAGTTGCACCAACAATATCTCAATCTCTCATCACAGGTGACAGATCTCATCATACGGTAATCAGATATCTACTCACAGCAGCCAGCAAGTTGAGTTTTCAAAAAACACACACACAAAAAAAAAGAGTTCCTACTTCCTGGTCCTTTTTCAACAGACTAGGGACCTCCTGTATGTGTGTACCCCAAAAAGGGAGAGGGGAAACCCGGGGAAAGGTCATGGACTCATGGGCTTGCAACAAGAGGAAAACAAGAGATATCTTCTCCTCCTCCTCCTGAGACCCGGACCTGACCTTGCCCTTAGGGTTTTTTGGAGGGGGAGGGGGAGTTGTCGTCGTCGTCGTCGACTCGTCGTCGTGTTGTTTTGCTGATGACCAGAGCAGACCAGGGCCTGTCCTTGCCGCGCGCTTATACCAATGGTATAGCATGGATAGATGGGATGGGATGGGATGGGATCAGAAGAGTTCAGTTCGGTTCGGTTCGATTCACTTCACTTCACCGATACCCCGTTTTCTGATGATGATGATGATGATAATAATGATGATGACAAAGATGATGCATAGCTCTTGTTGGTTGGTTCCGCGGACCTTTTTATTTTCCTTCAGGGTTGTTCGCTTGGAAAGCAGCGTGGAGATGATGAACGAGGGGAGGGTTAGCGAGAAAGCTTCATCAGCAGACAGATGGACAGACAGACAGGCATCGCTTTTACTAGATCGGGCTTGTCGTCGCGTTGTTATGCTGGTGATGATGACTCCTCATCACTGTTAGGAGGTAGGTTGGTATGTAGCTGCTTTTCTGGGGGTTCATGGATCAGTTGATAAAGTTTTAGGGCTTAGAGCTGCCGTCGCCGCCGCCGCCCGCCGCTTGTGATGATGATGATGATGATGATGATGATGATCCTGATGAACTGGTGGGCTGATGATGAGCTGATGAGTGAACTAGGGGGGTAGTTGACTTTTATTTTTATTTATTTTTATTTATTTTTTTAATTTTTTCTCCTGCTTTCTGGGCAGAGGAGTTTGAATCGGTGGGAAGCGAGCGGTTCGAGCGCCGAGCTTACTCGCTGTTGGTAATCTGGGGAATGAAATTTAGATATGGGGTGAGGTTTTTTTTTTGTGCGAGTAATGAGTTCGAGCAAGGATCAATGACTTTGGAGGGACCTAGATATAGTAGTGGATATGATACGAAATGAATAGTAGGAAGGACTTTTTTGTCTCCTCAAAGCCGTATACTCCATTCTTCTCCTGCATCAAATCGAATTCGATTGCCAACACACCGTCGGTAGGATGAGTATTGAGTGTCAATCATTTTGGTATGCATGGAATACCCCACGGGGTGATGGGGACGAGGTTAGCCCCAACCATATTCTTGGCTTAATTTCCTGTCATACGAGGGGATTACACTCAAAAAGGCGGCGAGATGTACCGATTCGGAGGAATGTTTTCCGATATTATAACGACCAAAGCGTCTCGATAGAACTGACCAGTTCACTCTTGCTATCGAGATGAACAAGAACTTGCGAGATTTTACCAAGTCTTTCTTCTATCAGCTTGTTGCTGGAATCTATGCCTCATCTACTACTCTACCTCTATCATCACTTCATCAACCACCACTAACTACTATATAGATCGCAACAACTTCACAACTTCTTCCCATTCCCCACACCCAAAATATCATCCTCCGTACTCGTCGGAGCATAGCCTCCCGCCACAGCCACCTCCTTTCCCTTCTCCTGCCACAGAAAGCACTCATCCCCCTCCACCGTCGAGGGATCAAACGTAAACATCCTCGCCTCCGCATTCTTCCACATATACCCACTCGGCCCCTCTGCACTCGCCGTCAACTCGCGCAAAATATCTCCATGTCCCACGAGCACAATCGTCTGCTCGGGCCGATTACGCAACCACTGTCGCACCCATTTCGCTCGCTGCGCAATCCGCGTGCGATCTGCGGACCAGAAGCCTTGCTTCGATGTCCAGTCGGGCGGGAGGTGTGAGAAATTAAATCCGTGCAGTTCGGGGTCCTGGGAGAGGATTTCTTGTGAAGAACCCGTGTCGCAGGGGAAGTCGTTGCATTCTTGGAATTCGGGGAGGAGAATCACTTTTTCGAGGCCGCCTAGGCGCGAGATTGCGGGCGCCCAGCCGAGTTTGGTGGTTTGCAAGGTGCGCTTGAGAGGGCTGGTGGCAACGAGGTCGACTTCTTGGGAGAGAGCTTCGACTTGTGGAGCGAGTGCTGCTGCTTGTTTCTTGCCCAGCGGCGTAAGAGGTGCGTCGTGGACTGTGGTTGGAGTTGAGCATCAATGAGAGTGGGAGAGAGCGGTGAGTAGTAGGATTAGGTGAGAAGCTTACTGGAGTAATCGAGACCGACATTGTGCTCGGCCTGCGCGTGGCGAGTGAGGATGATACGGGAGTTGGGTGCCATTATCACACGTGTATTCAATGCTCAACAGGATGGAGATAGGAATGAGTGAGTGAATATGTGTCCCCAAAAAAAGGAGTCTAATGGTATGTGAATCACATGCAAGAAAGGGAACTTGTGTCCCACCAGTGACGACACTGGATGACTAAGATACAGGTCAGAGGAGTATCACCAAACGGCGTCGTGTTCGGCAACACGTGGACTACTAAGTGAATCAACTTCCTCCTCCCCCTGCCCCTTTCACACTCGCCCTTTTTCTTCGTTAATGATAAAACAGATGTTTACTCACTGTGCTCGATTCAGTCACTCATGCTCCAGGCACTCACCCAATCGAGAACGAATTATTTCAAGCTTGACGCTCTGTAAGAACAGATTGTACACCAAGGTTTCCATTCAACATTGTCGCGCTCTCCTTTGCTCTCCTGCTAGCATCGGCATCATGCCAGCTGTTCGTGCGTTGCATCCAGACGATATCGCTGCGTTCACCTCTTCCATCCAACAGCAGGAGAGAGCGAGAGAGCCTCCCAAATCACCTAGCACGCTCAAGTCTCCTCGAGCAACTTCGGCCAAGTCAGCGGAAACCTCGTTTGCAAAGCACGTTGCAGAACTCGAGCTGCCTTGAGCAGTACAGCATCATGCTGCGTAGTTGATTTGGCCGACGGAGCGCGCCCCCGAGCGCCACTGTTGACATGGCGAGGCCTTTTGGATATTCCACGCGAAGCCTGCGCATGACTGTCCACGGCTACTAATCCTGCGCTTTCTACCGCTTCGAACAAGATCGCGCCTAGTCGTAAGTCGTCTTCTGCTTCGGCGAGCATCAGATCGACATCCGTGTCTGCAGCGTGGAGCCCGATGATGTTGGTATCGTGGTCGGATGCGTGGCGCAGCAGATTGTCGATGGATGTGTTGACTCGTGCGAGCCTCGCAATCGCTTGAGCGAGTGCCCGAGCATGTTGATCTGCGGTAGAAGTGCTAGAAGGCAGAGGAGACGGGTCTGTAGTCATGGGATGAGTATGTCGGTGACGAATCCGTGTTTAGGAAGACTTTTCGTCTTCTGGATATGCTGTTATATGGTCACATGGTGATCTACCACAGAAACACATCTATGGTCTCACATCTGTGGTTTGCTGGTCTGCAATATGATGTCTTTGACATATCTGACACCTTTGGCTGATTCCCCTTTTGCGTCCCAATTGCTTATGCAAAAACATGCAGAGAAGGAATCACCTTTGTTGGTATGCAAACCACGAACATGGACTACGAAAAGCGATATTGATAGACTGACTCAGGTAGCAGTATATCGACTGAGAACATCCCTAACACAGCTCAGTCATCATACGCACACACGTGGCTGCTTGTGGGTGAGTGAGTCTATTCTTACTCTTTCCAACGACAGGCTACCCCGACCACATACGATACCCCTGCCGCACTGGAGACCGAGTCAAGCGAACAGCAGGTTTTACAGCTTCGTCATGCATCGCCTCACCTACATGACTGGGTTTTATTTAGTAACAACCGTCGTCGTGTGTTGTCTTTTCTTCCTCATCATCTCCATCACCACACACTCGCTCTTCCAGTCATACCATCAACATTCGCTACACAACCACCAAAAAATCAACCAGATCTCGTTATGCAAAAGAGTACTCTCCTTCTGGCTGGTCTCGCAGGGCTCAGCTTCGCTCAGGACATCATCCGTGGCTTCAATAGCGGCGGAATTGGCCCCAATGGCGTGAAATCTCAGCAAGACTTTGAAGCCGAATTCAACAAAATGAAGAATCTCCCTGGTACTTCTGGCTTCACGTCGGCTCGCCTCTTCACCACGATTCAAGCGAATACTGCGAATGATCCCACCCTTGCCATCCCTGCCGCCATCTCGACCAAGACTTCTCTCCTCCTGGGACTGTGGGCCAGCGCGGGTCAGGATGCCTTCAATCAGGAGTTGACTGCTCTGAGGAGAGCTGTCGATCAGTACGGTGAGTGATGGACTAGTCTTTCAAGACACACAGGATTAATGATGGGAGTCGCCGCTGATACAAAAGAAATCTTCCTAGGCCAAGCATTCACCGACCTCATCGTCGGGATCTCTGTCGGTTCCGAAGACCTCTATCGTGTCACGCCTACGGGTATCGCCAACCAAGCGGGAATCGGATCTTCTCCCGACGAACTCGTCAAGTATATTCAACAGACTCGCGACAAGCTGGATGGTCATGATGATTTGAAGAAGAAGATTGGACACGTGGATACGTGGACGGCGTGGATCAATGCTACCAATTTCCCCGTCACAGCCGCCGTGGATTGGATTGGAATGGATGGTGAGTTTCACATTGTTTCGGATTTTTGTGTTTTCACTTCACACACATACGGAGAGGGAGAGGGGGGGGGGGGGGGGGGGGAAAGGGAAA